ATGATACAGTAAGTAAACCACTCTGTGGAAACAGATCACTTTTCCTTTTGGAAGTGATTAGACATCATCACAAGAGAATTTGATTCATTTATCAATCAGTATTTATTGAATGTTTATTATCTATAAGGTATTATGCTGGGTATATTTGAGGTATAAGATATATATATCTGTATGTATCTTTTATAGACATATAATTATATATAAAGTTTATTTCTGCTCTCACAGAGTTTACACCCTAACGGGAAGGTATAAAGAGACACGGCAAGCCTGTCCTGCTAAGTGCCTGAAGGGGAACTTTGGCCATGGTACCTGTGCAGTTTGAGAGACTTAGTTCACCTCTCATATGAAAGATATTTGCTTCCATAATAAAATCAAGCTGTTACTCATTACTCTGATTTACTTTTTCCAAACACATAGATTCTTACGAGTGGAATTTTAGAGAACAATGTTATGAAACAAAAGCAACCTGAGGCCATCCTCCTCCTAATCATCTAGGCCATCTAGGGAAGCGATTCCCGACTTGGTAACCAGGGCTTGTTAAAACGCAGACTGCTGGGTGCCATCCTCAGAGATTCTTATTCGGGTCTGGGTTGGACTTGAGAATTTGCATGCTGCAGGCATGGGAATCCCACTTCCAGAACCAGTGCTCCAAAGTTACCTTCGAATTTTCTCTATTACTTGCCTTCCACATCCACACTGACACTAAGGCTTACCCTCTCATCCTGTCTTTCCCTTCCATTCCCACTCCTTGGACTCTTTAAAATTTTTTTATTGTGTTTTCCCATTACCATTTATGGCCCTTATACACCCTCCCCCTAGCAATCACCACACTGTTGTCCACGTCTGTGAGTCCTTTTCTTTTTGCTCCATCCCTCCACCCCATCACCAATGCCCCTCCAGCCATCAGCCTGCTCTCCATCTATGAGTCTGTCTGTATTTACTTGTTAGTTCAGCTTGTTCATTAGATTCCACATTGACTTTTGTTTTGTTCTCTTGGGAGAAAGCATAGAGAAATCCTCCTTTGTTCCATGACAGGATGATTTGTGTTATCTTATTTTTTTCTGATTCTCTTGTTTTCAAATATTTCCTAGTTCTTGGTTTACTTCCTCAGAAATTCTATAAAGCTGCAGTAAAGTGAACTCGAGAAACTCCTAGAAGAGGTGAAGTCCTACTGTGGATACTTGGTAGAAGAAAGCAATCTGGTGAGAGATTTTCTTTTTCTCTTAAAAAAATCCATAAGATATCAAAAAACTGTTCATTTTATGATAGAAGTTCAAGGGAAACCCAAGGAGTATCACATTGCTTCAGCATTGAATTCCACAGAGGAAGGAAACACGTTGAGAGCTTATTATTCAGAGACTGGATACAGAGCAAAGGAACTCAGCATCTCCTGGAAGGAGGGGGCTAACGTAATAATGGTGGTAATTTTTTAAACTGTAAGTAGTACTTCACCTTTTATGAAAACCTCTCACATGCATCCTACCTTTACAGCTACTCGAAAGGCAGGCAAATTATTATTTCCATTTTAAACTCAAACGGAGGGTTATGAAGTTAAGTGACTTGTATAAGGCCACAATTAGAGAAACCAAAGTCTATCCAGATAATCTAATTCTAGTAGAATCATGTCTCACTTATGTCCCCTGCGTAAGTTGTAATATTGTGAGTGTTCTGGAACATGCTTCACAACCAGGGCTTCCTTGGTTCTCTAAGGTAGAGCCTTGTTCCAAGTCAATACCGACTGGTCTACTGGTTTGTCTCAAACACTTCCTTTTCAATGACTATGCCGACCATTAAGGTACCCCTCCACAAAATTTTACTTGGAATTCAATTTCAAAATTGATTTTCTGCAGTTGTGGAATGCAAGTATCCTTTACATTAAAACCTGGAGCTACTGAAATGCAAAGCCAGCTACTCTAGAGAGTAGCTGTGATGCCAAGGACCCAGATTTCCATCCTTTGAGCTCTGTTAATACTCCTTATTGGGAAGGTTCTATTTTGCTTAGACTACAGCTAAGAATTCTGAATCCATCCTTACTCCTCCAAGGAGCCCCAATACTTTCTACAGTCTTTTTTAGACCAACATTTGGACTTTGGCTCTAAGTTTTTGTCATTTCTACTGGGATCCTGTAAGATCGAGAGGCTCCAGTTTTTTGATGTTTTCCCAAGAAGCAGGAGAAAACTTTCTTTAGAAAGGCGGGCCACAGTGAATCCAGGTCCTGCATTGCTTCCTTATGATCGAGCTGTCTTGCTTTGAAAAACCATGACCTTACAAAATTATTCTTAAACTTTGTAAGGTTATGGACTCCTTCAGTCAGATAACGTCTTGATATGCAGACGGCCCTTCTAAACTGACACTGCCAAGTAATTCTGGGGTGAAAGAGAAGAGCTGGTCTTTTAAATGAGGTGCTAAGACTGATATATGTACAATATTAATTGTTCTCAGATGTGTCCATATTATACACACTAATACAGGCACCTTCATAATTTACTGAGGCCCTCATAGTTTACTGCATATTTGAAGGCTGCATTTTAAGCATTACTTAAATTTATGCAATAATTTCACTTGTAGCTTTTGTATCTGTGATGCATAAATGAACAAACGTATTGCTGGTTTTCTTACGGGCAGATGTAGTTATCTGGGTTAACCACAGAACCCTCTGGCGAATCCACTGGACAAATGTATTTATACACTAGAAAGCCAAATTTTAGTAGTGCACTGAAAAGCTTACGTTGTAAATTTAAAGTCTCACTGCAATATGTGATCTACAAGAATGTGTGGATTCTGTTCTGCTGGGTCTACTGGAAGAGACACACAAAAGGAGCACGGAAATGTTTGTTCAAGACCAGCAACGTCAACTTTGCCTAAGAAGACGCTTCCACAAATGGTTTCTTTTTTCCCCTATCCTTCATTTGATGGTTTCTCGACAGCTATTAAGAGGAGGAAAGAACATAAACTACCCAAGAGCACTCTGTAAATCATAAATAAAAGTATTACTATTCGACTAAGTTACCAAATAATGATGATTCCCACACCACATGGAAAATCTCCTCAATTGATTGTGGGTTACCGGTGCATTCACATCCACCCCAAGTAAACACAGTGGCTCACCACGACCTGATTTCCTTCCTAAATTCTGCAGTGCTTCTGCATGATTTCGGAGGTGTGAAAACTGTCCTCTTTCTAAACAACTGATTTGCATAATGTACACAGATTTACATGATGTCCTGCCTTAAGCCAAACTGCAGAGAAGGAAAAGTTCACCTTCAGTAACATCCTAGGGTGGTTGGTTGTTCACGCCCAGGTTGTGTGCCTCCTCTCAGTGTCTGCTGCTCTCCTTTCCTTCTACTCCCCGATTCACAATTACGTGCTTTGTGTCCCATGCTGGCTATTCCTGCTAGCTGATCTGAGAACCAAGGTTGCTTTGAAGACCTAATTTGTGTCTGAGTATGTGATTTGATATGTAACTTTCTCCTGGCAACTTATTTGTCCATTAGCAAGGATGTGACGGACCCTGAGGTTTACCAGAAGAGTGACTCTCATAACAGAAATTTCAAAGAGAGTCTTTGTGAAGTCGTGTCACATGTGTGGTCCCTCACATGGCACAGCATCAGTGTAGTTCTAGCTTCTACGTCTGTCCCATTACAGAGCAAGGAAAGAGCACTGGCTGGGAGGTCAGATCTTAGCCCCAGAACCACAGAATCCAGGGATGAAGCACTGTCTTGCCCGACTGCTCACCTGCAGACTGAATCCCTCCTACAACATCCTCAGGAAATGACCATTCTCTCCTCACACTCTAGGAACTCATTCCCTTTGGAGTCTGCCTATCCTGTCTGCGAGCAGCTCTGACTGTCAACAATCATTTCATTTCGTTGAAAGAATCTCCTTATTGCTTCCAGTCATTGGTCCAGTTCTACCTTTTGGACCCAAGCAACACAAGCTTACTCCCTCTTTCCTCCTAACCATTTAAATAATGTTAAAAATGCTAATAATAGCTATCAATTAGAATGCTTATGTGCTAGGAATTGTTTAAAGAACTTCATGTATATGAATTCATTGAATCCTCCAAACAGCATTATATGAAAGACCTATCACTATTATCCCCCTTATGTTGACAAAGAAACAGAAGTACAGACAGGTTCAGTAATTTTTCCCAGGATGATAAAGTTCAGTAGTTGCTAAATCTAAAGTTCAGTAGTTGCTAAATCTAAATTCAAACCTCAGCTGCAGAACTCCAGCTTGACTATGACATCATGCTGTCCCCACAGCTGGAATACCTGAGGATGGCTCATGTGACGCCCTGAGTCTTCTCCCCTGCAGTCTGAGCACCCCAGGGCCTCCCACCGTGATTCAGGTGCCCTGGATTTGCGTCCCTTCCTCACCCTACTCACATGCTTCTCGCTGTGTCCGGATTAGTCTACGGTCCTTTTAAAAGGCTGTACCCAGAACTGACTGTGATCTCTAGATATTGAAAATGGAGAGTGGAAAATAGTCTATCAGTCCTCTTCATTTCAGGGACCACAAAAGCAGCTTAAGCTCGCACCAACCTTGCTGTGGCCTCTTCAAGCTACTGGTTCATACAGAGCTCATGACAATCCGAAATCCTTGTCCTTGCTTTGCCTACGGACTTTAGTGTGCATACTGAGGTGACTGGAGTGTACGCTCTGCAAGGACTTTTCCAGTTTTGCACACCTCGGATCACAGAATGTGTTACAAGAGTTCAATGTATTTAAGGGATGTTGTGCCTGCAAACTCTCTATTAGGTTTTTCTTGATTTGGCCCTTCTCCATAAAGGGTTTCTGTGATTTTTGTCTTTGGTCCAGGTGCTCTGCTCCTAGGATGGGGGCACAGTTGGAGCTTTTAAAAGGTGGCTTGCAGTGGGGTTTCCTTAGCATCTAAAAATGACTCCAAACCTTCCCTTCTATCTGCTGCCTTGCCTGTCCCTTCCCACAGCCCCCTCACCTCCTCTCTGCTGCCAGACCCCCCAGGGGGCCTGCACTCACCTGTGTGTACAAACATGTGCTTGACGTAGTTCTGTTTGGCGGTGAAAGTCTTGTTGCACAGAGTGCACTCATAAGGCTTTTTTTCGCCCTGCCCACTGGCTGTGCTGTGGCCTGCAGATGGGGCCAGGGGCTGTGGCGCTGGCAGCTGTGCAGTAAAGGTCGACAGGCCGGGCTGGGACACTGTCACAAACTGGGTCTGCTGACCTGCCAGGGGTTGTGGCAGGCTGAAGAGGAAAGGCTTGGGGCCGCTGCCCGCGGGCTGGGTAGTGAAGAGGGCCGGCAGGTAGGTGTTGCCGGCTGTGCCAATGACCTGTGTGTTGCTGGTCAAGGTCAGAGGCATCCTCAAGTTGCTGGTGAGGGTTTCTGTCTGGCGTAAGTAGAGCTGGGTACTTGGCAATGGCTGCCCGATGGACGTGTTGACTGAAGGCTGCTGTAGGATGCTTTTGTCGGAGCTGTTGCTGACAGTGATGACTGTATTGTCCATTTCCACTTCGTTGCTTCTTTCGGGAGAAGAGGCACCTGTCTCCGGCTGGTGGGGTTGCGGGCCGCCCTCCACAGGGGCTTCTGCAGCTTGCTCAGGTTGGGCAGGTTCAGCCTGGCCCTCCCGAGCTGCCCCAGGCCCGAACTGCTGCTCCACGGAGTCGGGCTCGGTGCCTATGGAGGAGCTGACACCCGAGTCGAAACTTTCACCCTTGGGCTCACTCTCGGTGCCTTCGGCCTGGTCCGTGTCTTCCGTGCACTCTTCAGATTCATTGCGCTCCAAGATCTGTACCCTTTGCTGCCCATAGTAGTCATAATCGTCCTCCATCTCCTGCTTGATGTGGATGTTACCCACCAGGGTCTGGATGCGCACGGGCCGGGGCTGCTTGCGGCAGTGTGTGGTCTCGGGGGTGGTGGAGAGGTAGCGCTCCATCTGCTGTGAGCGCTCATGGATGCGAGTGATCCAGCTGGGGTCTTCCATGTGGTGGTCTCGGGGCAGGCCGAGCGCAGTCTCGTGGTGGCTGACCACCGCACCGCTGTAGAAGGAGCGCTCACCACTGCCGTTCTGCATGGAGCATGCGTACAGTGCAGAGTAGATCCTGTCCACGCTGTGCTGCGGGTGGCTCTGCAGGTACCCCGACTCAGTGTCGCTGCTCTGGCCCGATGTGCCTGACTCGGGAGTGCCCCGCGGCGTGTCCTGGCCTGAGTCCTGGATCCCCGGGAACACATCGCCCACATTCTGTGACACTATGCGTGTGCACTCATCGATGACTGTTTTGATCTGCAGGATGCTGGCGGCCGTGAGTATCTGTAGGGCTTCCGACTGTGAGACGCGCAGCACGCCGCTGTACATGAAGTCAATGAGCTTTTGCACCGACTGCACTGACACCACGGATGGGATCTCGATGTCGCTGTAGCCCAGCAGCAGCTTGTCCTGGAAGAAGGGGCTGCCGGCAGCCAGCACGCAGCGGTGTGCGCGCAGCATGCTCCCGTGGATGCGCACCGTCACGTCACAGAAGTGGCCACGGTTGCGCTGCTCGTTGAGGGTCTCGAGCACGGAATTGCTGAAGTTGTGAAGGTTGATGCTGTGAATGCGCTCGGTCATCCCCTTGCAACTGATGTCACCTGCATGCCAAGGCAGACACAAACAGAGTGTGGGTCAGGGCTAGCTGACTGCACCTCTACCACCTGGGCCTCAGGTGAACGATGCTCACGGCTCCTAGAAGCACCCCCCGCCCCCCCAAGACCCAAGAGTGTTTGGTGGGGGACGGGCAGGTTTGCACAGATGTCAAGCTGCAGTATGATGTCTTACAGAAACGGGGCCTTGAATTGTGTCCCAACAGTGTCCCAGCTATTTGGGGGCATTGAATCCTTGTCGATCCCCTGGAGCTTCAGTCGGAGTTGTCAGCTGGAGTAGCCTAATAAACAGATGGGCCATTCGCCTGCCACTCCTACAACTTCAGCAAATAAGAACTGAAAGGAAAATGGAGGCTTGTTCTCGACTCTACCTCTGTGTTGGACAGGCCCAGGCCCAAGTCTTTTGGGAAAGCTTACACTTCCCCCAGCTTAGCAAAGTTCCTTATTTTATACTTGGACTGCAACAATATTCAGAGTAAAAAATAAATTCCTTTCCTGTGGATTTATGTGGCATATTCCCCAAATCCACACTGTGCATACAAAAACTCTTGGAAAACCCAACGCAGACTAAGATGCTCACCAAACAGCGGCACCTTGTTTCCCGGCTGAGGGAGAGGTTATGGAATGCAGTCTGCAGTGAAAGGGGTGTCTGCCTGCTACTTTCTGTATCTATGGGACATTCTACAGATGACTTGCTTGTCATCCCTGATAATCAGGGAACCTCCTAGAGTGGCTGTATGCAACGTGGTGGTTTTCTGAATTTACTGGGGCTTAGTGAAGGCAGCACTGATCTGGGAGCCTGGAGGACATGAGATGGTCATGTTCACCATTCAAACTGGGCACTTCGGGAGTGAAAGGAACACCGTTAACAATTAGGTCAAGACAGCAGGAGTGAACCAGGAGTGGGATGTGTGAACACTGCAGGTAATCGGTGCTCTACGCACGTGCTGGAGGGAAGTATCAAACAGCTCCCAGGAGGAAGGCAATGGTTGGCGATGTGGAGGCTGTGGACAGCCTGACCCACTGCCATCCCCACGCTCCAGACTGGGAAGACCAGGGAAAATGTTGGTAGCATTGAGGTCACAGACTGAGAAAGAATACGGGAGCTGTGACGATCAGTCTTAGGGCTCTCTTTCTTTTTCTACCTCACCTTTCCAGTGGCTCTAAAGAATCCCTTCTCCGAACCAGTCTTCAGTCAGATTCCCTGTTTCTGCCTTCATGGCTGAACCATCAGCTTGAGAGAGTGGGCTTTCAAAACCAGGTGGCCAAAGTACTACCGACTGTTGGCCTGGGACCCAGCTCCCTGTTTCTTGTTAGAAATAGCCTTAGAGGTAATGGCCTATAGACAGCTCCTCGGGTTCCTTCTCCTTGGTCTTAGGAGAGAGGACCTGCTCAGGGAAGTCTGAGCTCAGCTAGAAGTCCTACCTTGCTTTACTCGGTCTCCTCATGCTGTCCTCACTCAGTCAGTGTGACCACACCCTTTTATATAGTCATTCACTTCCCTCGTTCCCATTTCACACTTAGTCAGCCTTCCATATATCCATTTAACTTAAGAAATGCCTGCAGGCTGTTTGTTCACTTTCAGTAATATGATTTGCATACATGTTTACATAAGAGAATTCCTTCTTACTTCAACTTCCACTGGGTCTGTTCCTTGCCTAAAATAGTTCATTAGGCTATTGTGTCTATTTTTTTCAATCATGTAAAACAAACTGTCTTTGCTAGATTAAAGAATCATGGTGAATCCTCCACTACTGTGTTAATACAAAATATGGTCCCAGAGGAAGGCCCTAATAACCCAGGAAGAAATGTTCAGGAATGAAGTCAGCAGACCAAGTCCCAAGTTCTTTCTGAGTCCAGCACGCCTTTGTGCCATGATAATTATAACAAGACAAAACTTTTTTTTTGAGCTTATGAGGTGTCAGATCCTAACCACTATTAGAACTGGTCTGTCTACTTTATTATATAATTTCACTTAATTCTCAGAACAACCCTATGATGTAGCTTGAATTATCCTCACTTTTCAGGTGAGGAAACTGAGGCCAGAGAAATTAAGACATTTGCTCAAGGCCACAGAGGCAGCTGGTGGCTGAGTTGCCATTTGGACGCAGGCAGTCTGGTACTGGAGTCCATACTCCCATCCGCTTGGCTATTTCTGCATGCTTTGTCCCTGAGTGAAGCCTGGCCCTCAGGTGTACGCGGGTCTGCTGTAAATCCGTGTGAAAAGGTTTTTCCAGCATCCCCTGCAGCTACTTCCATACATATTCATCAACTGGCATGGTCTTTGTCTTTCTAGGTCTCAGGTCTTCAACATAGCCTCAGACAGCTAATAAAGAACATATTCTTTAGGTTTACAAATGAAACAATGCAAGAGATAAAACATCTTGTCCTGGCATTCAAATACAGAGTTTTCTAGATACAGTACAACGTTACTATCACCAAGGTCCATAATCACTAAAACTAGTTGATTCTCTGATAAAATCGAATCTCCGAGGGAAGTACCAAACAGCTCCCGTAGGAAGGCAACAGGCGGTGAGATGGAGGTTGTGACGGCCTGACCCACTGCCACAGGGAAACTGTTCTTCTTCCACACAGGCAAGAACGCTCTAAATGCACAGCTGCTCACGGCACCAGTCACAAGCATGTCTCTGGAGATGTCATACATGACGAACGCCTGTCCTCTTTCTGATTAGCATGGGCAGACGCGTGACCACGTGACCACGGTAGTTAACATGCATGCCGTTGTTACAGTGTCCAGAACTCTTTCACATGCAGTGTCTCATTTACTAGTTACAGCAACCTCACATGCTCTTAGGACGGGTCCTACTATTACTGTTTGATAAAAGATGGGCTTGAGGCTCTCAAAGGCTCTAACTTGCCCAAAGTTTGATACAGCCAGTAAATTGCAGTGTTGGGATTAGAACCCATGACCTTGATGGTCTTTTCAATGCATAACACGGATTGCTGAGGAATGAAATTTGGACTGCCCAGAGACCTGGCACCATCCTCCTTCTCAGGACATAAGAGAAAAAAATAGACAATGAAAGTGATGAAAGAGGTTGCTTTAGAGATGGAAACTGTTAACAGCAAAAACTGGCATTATATCAAACACAATCTGAGAAGAATGTACACTGCTTGTCTGGCAGACGTGGTGGAGTCTATCTCCACAGCCGGGTGAGACCTACGGGGCACTCACACACACACACACACACACACACACACACACACACACACACGCCCCTGTTAACCGGTCTGAATTATGGTCATTGCAGTAACAGGGTCACCATGTTGATCGAATAGCACAGAGGCAAACTCGAACCTGCACACGCACACAAGCTGACCCGACCAGCCCACTGGGTCTCCACGGACACCCTTTTTCAACACCTCCCCGTGCACTGGTCCCGCACAGCAGTGAGCGGCCAGGAAACATCGACACAAGTCTGCTGACGTGGGTACAGATGCGATGGGGACCCTGCTGTCCATTCAAGCACGCCTCGTCCTTCTTGCACACAATGCTGAAGCAATTCCTTTCCCAGGCTTTCTTTTATTTTTTTTAAACACTATTACAGTGGGAAAAAGTTTCTGCTACAGCAAGGCAATGTCCAGGCTTTTGTGAAAGATGTCCTTTTCATCCAATGGGCATTAATGTATAGATTCCAACGGGGTCGTCTGAAACACTCTGTGGTGGAAGATTTGTCCCCCATTGAAAACAAATCTTGATTAGGTGGTTATTCAGGGACCGAAGAGGAAGGAATGGTGTGAAAATGCTGACTCCATTCTTCCTAGATTGGCACTGAATAGGCATTTGGGCTATTCAAAAAAACAAGAAAAAAACCCTCACTCTGTAAAACTACACAACTTCACAAAGATGATGTGCACTTGGGAACCCCACCCACCTAACAACCCCACAGTGGTAGGGACACAGAACTGATGGCAAAGTGAAGAAAGGTGATTAAAATAGTTCTCTGTATTTTAAAACACTAACCTATCTCCTTTCCACTAGAATAAAAATACTGAGCCAGCCTGGGGGGGCAGTCACTAGAAACATGGAAGGAATTCTACCGCTGAGAGTGAGCGTGTACTCTAAGTGACGGTGCCCCTGAGTGAGCGCAGCACAGACAGGGCTGACACCGGAGTGGGCACTGGAAGGAGAAGCTGCTTGTGGTGACACAGGCGGCAGAGGGCCTGCTCTGTGGTAGGAACCCAGCTGTTCTCTGTCCCTTAAGCTGCGGGTATCAGGGATAGGACTTAGCATGAGAATAAAAAGCTGCCTCAGCACAAGGGAAAATGAACAAGAAAGGAAACAGCAGGCAATACAATCTGTTTTAATTAGGTGTGAAATCCAGCCCTTCCTCAGTGCGGATATACAAAATGAGAACAGAGAAAGCGTGAGATGCTGTAGCTGGGGTGTCCAACCTTTTGGTGTCTCTGGGCCACACCAGAAGAAGAGTTGTCTTGAGCCACACACTAAATACACAAACACTAATGAAAACTGATGAGCAAAAAGAAAGTCTTAAGTAAATGTGTGATTTTTGTGTTGGGCCACATTCATAGCCCTCTGGGGCCACTTGCGGCCGGCCCGTGGGCCGCAGTTTGGACACCCCTGCAGGGAGATGGGAGTTTGGTCTGTGAGACTTGGGAAGATACACAAGCTCTCAAATTAAAACCAATAGGAATTTTGTCATGTCAAAGGGCCTAGGTCAAATGGCACAGCCAAAAAGCCCGTGAGCTTTCAATCCGGGCCACCTGGCTCACGTGAGGAAAGTGACTCCGCACATGGAATAGGGCTGGGTGGCCAGGCCTCCACACCTCAGCCTCTTCCATCACACTCTTCCTCCTTGTACCTTGCTACCTTTAGTAGGCTGAGGTTGCTCTTTCATATGTTAGCTGACTGGTGCACTTACCAAGTTAGTTACACTAGGAAAGAGTCATTCCTCTGATGAAAAAACCGGGATGCATGTGGTAACTCAGGACCTTCACTCCCTAAA